GGGGCAGGCGGGAATCGAACTCATGCGGAAGTGGCTCTAGCTTCTCAGTGCTGCGCTTTAACCCGCTGCGCCACCAGGGAGGGCCCAGTAGTGATTTCTTTAATGCTCTTTTCCCCTTCTTTTTTTTAACATATATTTTACATGACTGTTCATTTTTGTAAAATGTTTGCTTTCTTTTTTCAGGTCTAGTCCCCACAGAATTTCCACCATCAGTTCACCTGTACACTATTAACAGTCCCTTGTGTTCTTCCCACCCTCTTTGTTACCCCACTCCTTCTCCCTACTCTGCAGAATTTCTCTGATTTATATTGCCTGTTTATTTTTTGTTTTGTTGTGTTTTTTATGTGTAGTATTTTTCCTCTGAACCCTTATTTGGTTCCCCTATATTTTTCCTATAAGTGACATATTTCATTAAGCATCATCCCTTCTAGCTCTATCCAGGTTGCTGCAAATGGCATTGGTTTATCTTTTTTGATCACTAAATAGTATTCCATTGTGTATATCTACCACATCTTGACCCAGTGTTCTCTTTTTGGGCATTTGGGTTGTTGCTAAGTCTAACCTATTATAAATAGTGCTGCAATAAACATAGGGGTGCAGGTGTCCTTTTGAATGAATGTTTTTTGTGTCCTTTGGATAAATACCTAGAAGTGGGATTGCTGGGTCATATGGAAGCTCCATTTTTAGTAGTTGGGGGAAGCTCTACACAGCTTTCTATAGTAGTTGTACTAGTTTGCAATCCCACCAGCAGTGCCGGAGAGTTCCTTTTTCTCCACATCCTCACCAAAATCTGTTGCCTAGTTTTTAAAATATGTGCCATTCTCACTGGTGTAAGGTGGAATCTCATTGTTGCTTTGATTTGCATTTCCTTGATTATGAAGTATGTTGAATTTTTTTATATGCTTGTTGGCCATTTGCATTTCTCTTTAGAAAAGTGTCTTTTAAGTTCTTCTGCCCATTTTTTGACTGTACTCTTTGTTTTTGTTGAGTCATGTTAGTTCTTTGTCTATCATTGTAACCAGACCCTTATCAGTTGTTTGGAGTGGAAAAATTTTCTCCCAGTCAATAGGGTAGCTCTTTGTTTTGGCTAATGTCTCTTTTGCTATGCAGAAGCATAGCTGGCTATTTGTCTTTTCCTTCACTTTCTTTACTTTGGGGAATGAGTCTTTAAAGCTGTTAGAGTATGTCATATAGTGTTTTATCTCTATTTTATTCTCTATATTTTATGATTTCAGGTCTTATGTGCAGTTCTTTTGTCCATTTTGAGTTGATTTTTGTGCATGGTATGAGGGAATGGTCTAGTTTCATTTTTTTTTGCTTATAGTGGTCTAGTTTTCCTAGCACCACTTATTGTACAAACAGTCCTTATTCTTTGTATTCTTTTATCCTTTGTCAAAGATTGATTGTCCAAATATATATATATATATACACACACACATATACATACATACATACATACATATATTTGGCTTTATTTCAGGGCTTTCTATTTGGTTCCATTGGTCTGTGTGCCTTTTTTTTTTTTTGCTCCAGTATTATACTGTTTTAATTATTATGATTTTGTAGTATAGTTTGAAGTCTGGGCCTGTGTAACCTCCATTCTCCTTTGTTTTAGTCAGCAGAGCTTTGGCTATTCAAGGCTTTCTGTGGCTCCATGTGAATTTCATCAGTATTTGTTCTATTTCTTTGAAGAGTGTCATTGAAATTTTTATTGGAATAGCATTAAATCTGTAAATTCCATTTGGTAGGATGGCCATTTTGATAATGTTAATTCTTCCAGTCCAGCATAGGATGTCTTTCCATGTCTTCAAGTCTACGTCTATTTCTTTTATCAATACTTTATAATTTCCTTTGTATAGGTCCTTCACCTCTTTTGTTAGGTTTATCCCCACATATTTTTTTAATTATAAAAGAGATGGTTTTCTTGATTTCTTCTTTTTCTTATTGTTTGCTTGTATATAGGAGAGCTATTGATTTCTGTATGTTGATTTTGTAACCTGCTACTTTACTAAACTGGTTTATTGTTTTGGTTAGTTTTTATGCTGTTTAAGATTCTTTTATTCTTCAAGGAGGTAGGGACACCTCATTGATTTGTAATGCATGTGTAATATTTGAGTGAGGTCTGATTGTCGGCCTTTATTTATTTTTATTTTTTATTTATTTATTTATTTATTTTTTTAAAGATTTATTTATTTATTCATATAGAACTGGGGTACAGGCCAGAGATGCGGGGGGGGGTGAGATTTTCACCAGAGACAG